ACTTAAATTTAGGGCTCAGTTCAGTAAAGAATTATGCTGTGTTAATGCTTCTATGGAATTTAGTCATAAAAAGTTCAGACTGTACTAAAAACTAATTAATTCTGTGGTTTTGGTATTCATTGAAGCCTCCTTTCCCCAGCACACAAATAGCTAACATTATGCCCTGAAGGGTATGTGTGCCAAAAAGGTGGAAAAGGATATTCTAAGCTCAAAAGACTATAGCACAGTATGTCTATTAAAAAAAGGAAACTTTCTTAAATAGCTTGAAAGATAATAGAGCTGCCTGCAGGAAGCTTTAACTTGCATTCTGGTTATTTATGGGGTCTTACTAGGCAGCTATGTATTACTCTGGTTAAAATAAACACTTACCTCATCAATACCTTCTATATATTGTCTCTTTATCTTTAAAAATAACATTTATATTTTGTACATTAAGATTCACATTAAACTTTATCTTTCTCTATAAAATTACCTAAACTGGCAGGGAAAAAATTAGCGTTAATGAAGCTTCTTCGAATGTTATGATATTTTCATCTGGATTACCTGTGAAAGATCTTTCCCTGCACTGATACTGAATGACCTATACATTTGCACATTTACCTGATTTTTCCCACATTCTACTGCTCAAATATAACCCACAAATATTTTGTGTTTAAATTGGGTACTCATTATACAGTCTGACTTCTTTGCAACCATTTCCATGAGAAAAACATTGAATACCCATATAACTTGTTTGTTGAATTGAACCCTTGTCTTAATAGAAATAGTAACATGAAAAAAATAGCTCATCTTCATCTTAACTGTTTTTGTGATAGCAATGAGGTTAGTTTGTATTTCATACCAGTAAGTTGTCTGCTGGAGAAGTTGTATACACCAAGTGCAGTGTTTGATATTAGAGTAGCTATACCATATCCATGAAAAATATATAGCAGACAACTTCTGCACGAGTGAAGTTTTAAAATACAGGAGAAATATTTTACTTGCTATTTTTGGAAACATTTTTTGTTTTGATTTAAAAAAAAAAATCAAGTCTCAGGAAAAAATATTGAAGCTGACTTGCATAAATGTAAAAATCATTTTGCTGCTTTTATGGTTTTTTTGTGTGTTACAAACAGAAGACTAGATTCATTAACAATGCACAAGCACAAGAGTTTGTCAATTAATTAATCATATTTTTTAAATAATTCAAAGGACTCCCAGTCTGCTTGCTTTGGTCAAGTTGTCAAAGAATTTTCATTTAAAAAGTGGTCCAGTATATACAGTAAAGGATATTTTGTCATTCAAAACCTTCATCAACCATGGTATTTATCTATATATAGATCTTATAGCTGTCAAGGAGGAAAAAATAAACTGCCAAGGATTTAAAACAAGCCAGAAATGTTGCCACAGGCTCTTAACATTTCTTGCATGTAGGTAGAATGTGCATGGAAGACATCCATCCACTTTTTCTGTGCAGATACTAGCTCACATTTTCAGTAGTTCAGGAATGAGGGATTTTTTTTTCCCCATCATGAAGCCTGACTCATCTCTCATTCATTTGGCCTTTAGCACCATGCCTATGGTTATGTCCCCACATACTGATAGATCAAATTTCTTGTTCTTGTGACACTATTTGAGAGTGACTTAGTTAAAACTAAAAACAGTGCCATTTCAGTGCTTTGTCAATAAAACTTGATAGAAGCAACAACTGCAGCATTTCCTTCAGTTTACACAACTTTCTGAAACTCAAATATTCAAAATTCTACATATTTTGGAACACAAATTACCTTGCGAACATTTTTCCTAATCTTTTGAAGGATAGGATTTAAGTTCAAGTAAGCTCTGTTTGGCCAGATTAATAATTTTAAAAGTACACAGGGTCTGTGTAAGGCTGTTTCACTCGCACAAGGCCAGTGATTACATACATCATTTAATTCCTAACTACTTACCCGATAAGAAATTAGGTTGAAATTTTTTAAGGTTGCACCATTCACTGACATAAAGTATGTTAAACTCCATGGGTCATATGCTCCCACTGATTTTTTACATATAATATCTCGTGAATTGCAATGGGCAGTCTGACTCAAGCTAGCTCCAAATGTCTCCTTAACTGAAAGAATCTCCGATTGAAAACGCACTGTCTCTAGAATTAAAATTAAAAGAGAAAATAGATTTTCAGGATTAAATGCTTCCAACTGAGCCCTCAGGTGCAGGCAATGCCCACTGAAGTCAGTAAATTGCAACCACATGATGGCAAAATTGTGTCCCCAACATCTCACAGTTGTTCCACATCCTCATGCCCACACATTTTTGGCACTGACTTTAATGGGAGTTTCTCAGGCAGAAGGAAGGTAGAATATGGTCTTCAGTTTGCTTACTGCAACAAGGCAACATAAAATGGATACAAGTTTTAAAAAAAGTTTTAAATAGTTTCATAATTAGAAGGAAAAATACTTGTGGACAAAAAATGAAGCTAGTATTAACAATTTTAAAGGGGGATGGAAGAAAAAGAAGCTGTGTTACAGCAGCTGCAGTGTGTTAGAGAGTACAGAGGACTCTGTTATGGTCAGTTTCAATGGAAGTATTAATTTTCTACCTTGCACCTAAATATTACAGTGATGTGTGCCTATATATATCAATAAAGAAAGAGACAGATTAAAACACTGGGAAACTTAGCCTCTTTAGGAAACATATTCTTCACTCAGCAAAACAATTTTGGATCATCCAGATTAAGTAAGTATTCATATAAATGTGATTCTATTTATAATCCCCTTGCTTTTTTGTTGTTTTTTTTTTTTTTTTACTTGCATAGGTTCAGTAGAATACACCAAAATTATTGTGTAACATTTGGTATTCATGTTACATTTAAATAAAGTTTATTAAAAAAACAATTATATTAAATACAGACTAACAGAATATTCATAATATATTTTACAGAAAAAATAGCCACGTCTTTATTTTAGAAACACGCTTCTCTAAAAAGTTCTTTGAGATTTTTATAAAACATTTTACCCGTGAAGATAAGTTTCCCGTCAGACCTGTATAAAAAAAGCTTAAAACTTTAAATCCTTGGGTTTTTAATGTTTTTTTACAGGCTTACAATCTATAAATTCTTTAAAATAAAACAGTATCTTATTGGGATAAGACGGGATCAAATTGGTCACAGGCCATTCTTTAAAAAGTCAGTGGAGACTCCCTGAATCCATTCTGAAGTGCGTTTTCTTTTTCTATCTGGGGATCAATAGTGCAGATTTACTTGGAAATTCAGAGCTCCCTATATGTTCTATAGAAAGCTGGAAGTGTGTCAGTGGCAGGGTGCAGCTGCGGAGTCCCTCGAGTCAATGAATCCCACAATATCAGTAGGAGGCAGAACTCATAACTCCAAGTCCAATGCAGTCCACGCTTTTTCTCCAGTCCCTCCAAAGTCTCTGATGGGTCAAACTGGCACACAGATTCCATAGGAGATGGCTTCTGACACTCATTTACTTTCCAAGTTATAGCAGTGGACATCTCCTTTTCCTTTACCATCATATCCAGGGAGTGGCTGTCCATATTTATCCACACACCAGCAATAACCCCTCTTTCGGCCTTTGGAAGGGCGGCACTGAAATAAAATATAAGATCACGTTAGCGCATGTTTCCCTCTGGTACAGCAGGGATTCCAATTCATTCTAATTCCTTTGATAGCTTCAGTTCTATAACCTGGCCATATCAAAACTGGTCAGAAGTAAATGGAATTCTTATTAGTAGTATTAACAATTGTAATGAAATTTTACTTCTGCTACCAGCCAACTATTAGGGATCTAATTATCACACAGTAAAACTAATCCCTCCAAGAGAAATTATACAGCAGGGTTGTCTACTATTGAGTAATTCCAACTTCAGGGGACCAGTGGAACAATAGTAAGGTTCTATTTGGACCCTTTCTTTGTCAAAGAAACTCAGATTCCTTCTAGAACACAAAGGGAAGACATGTTTGACGGAGACTGTTCTTCCAGGAACAGCACCTCAACTTGGAACTGTTTGCCCAAGGAATATCAGTACTGTCCCTGAAATTTATTAGCAGATACATAATCCTCTACAATAGTTAGGTATATTAAAACTTTACAGGTAAAGTTTGACATTAAAACTTTACCTGTAATTTTTTCTAATAATAAAGTTGACTAAACATTAATCCATAATATAAACAATTTCTAGAGAAATCTGCTGCCTAGTAGAACTTGTTACCAACCAACTGGTCATAAAAGAAAGGAAAGCTTTCCCTGGGAAATGTTTTCTATCATCACAGAATCTGACAAATACACTGTCACCTACAAAAGTTTATGCTTTTCTGAACTAGGTAGTCTTTAAGGGTGCCTATATACATGCTCGGGGGGAAGGGGGGAGGGGAGGGCGTTTTAATTAGAGCAGTTCTTAGGAGCCACTCTAATTAAAACCCCTGCAGCATCTTGTGTATTCAGGGTCTCCCATTTCAAAATGGCAGTGGGGGCACTTTAACTAAAGTTCATTTGATGAGCTTTAGTTAAGGCATCCCTGCTGCCATTTTGAAACACAGGACAGTGAATACATGAGACACTGCAGCACACTGGAGCATTCCGATTAGAACGCTCAATTAATCGGTTTGATGCATTCTAATCAGAATGTGTTGGAGCATGTGTATAGGCACCCTAAGGTGCTACCTTAACCTAGTTTTAAGCACTTGTTATGTAGCTCAAATTTACAGCTCTCCAGGACAGAATTATCTCAGATCCATGTTACCCAGCTCGTGTTACACTAAGCAGCAGTGGGCCCAATCCGGGCAGCAGGGGAGGGGGTGTGGGTGGGGTATTTACACTAAGGTGTAGCCTAGATTGGCTACTTAACTAGGCCTACCACTCTAGGCTACACCTTAGTGTAAATACTCCACCTACACCCCCTCCCCTGCTGGCCCGGATTGGGCCCAATGCTATAACTTTGCCCCGGATTGGTACCATTCTAGGCTATACCTTAGTGTAAATACCCCACCCACTCCCCCTCCCCTGCTCGCCCGGATTGGGCCCACTGCTGCTTAGTGTAACATGAGCTGGGTAACATGGATCTGAGATAATCCTGTCTTGGAGAGCTGTGAATTTGAGCTACATAACAAGTGCTTAAAACTAGGTTAAGGTGGCTACCACTGTAGGCTACACCTTAGTGCAAATACCCCACCCATGCCCCCTCCCCTATGGCCCGGATTGGGCCCACGGCTGCTCCCTGCCCTTCCCAGCATCCCAGATCCCTGTGCACTGCTCCCCATTCCCCTGCCTCCCCGCTGGGCTTACTTGTGGCTGCTTGCACTATCTGTCCTGGGGGAGCAGGGTTAACCTGCTGGCCTGGCTGCTGCCACTACCCTCTGAGCAGGCTCAACCTGGAGAAAAGCAGCAGCAGCCTGGCATCAGGGGCTGGGCAGGCAGGTTACTCCTTCCCTGCCTGCTCCCTTGGCATATACACCATGGGCAGCCACAAGTAATGCGGGGCAGGGGGAAGCCTGGAATGGAAGGAGACTTCTTACCTTTCAGTCCTTTAGGTCCCTGCTGGCCTGAATTTTGACTGATCAAAACTCAAGCTAGCACTAACACCGATCAACAATTGTGCGACTCAGTGTAAGGTGTAAGAAGGCCGGCCCTATCACAGCTAACTATCTACTGCCTCTGTTTAGTAAATGAATGATGGTGTAGTGTTTATTCTGCACAGTGACCGTATTCTTCTCAGCACCCCAAAATAGTCAGGGCAGGGGTGCCTGATTCATTCTGCCCCCAGGTCAGATCAAGACTGCAAGTCCTCCTCACAGAGTGCAGTTAATGTAGCTGTTGCTTTCTCCCTACTAACAACACTTATCCCCCAACAGGGCTCCACCAACTGTCTCTGTGCTTAATCCAGCTAAAAGGAAGCACTATAACTGTTAAGGTTTCCATCTATTCAAACAAGGAGCACCTTTCCCCCATAGTCACAGAACGTCATATCAAGCATTCCATAGTTAACCTATGTCTCATGATGGGGGTTTCACCAAACATCTTATGCAGAAACGGGGTCATCAGAGCTAAATGAAGACCAGTCACAATTTTAAAGAGGCCACAACACAAATTTACCAGGTTCTTCCTAGACTACAACTAAGCACAGCTATGCTTAAGTGAGAATAATGGTACTATGTGGTATGAAAATCCTTGCTCCCCTACACCCTCCAGCACAAGGGAAAATAGCCTATGTCCTCATTCCTTACCCTGAGAAGGGACAAAGAAATTAATTTTCCAAAGTAGATGAGTGGTCAGATGAACAGTCTTGACTGGTGCCTTTTATTCACAGATAGTGAAATTTATCCATGTTCAGAAAGTTCACAGAGGACCTACCTATACATGTATCATTTTTGTTACAGCTTTGGATAGGAAGATCACATATAATGACATGTAACATAATTACATGTGTAATAATACAACGCTTTTTCTTCAGGGCCTCAAGTTCTTAGTTTTGTAGTTCATGGAATGATAATTTAAATGGTACTTCTAAGAGCAGAATGACTGCAGGATCAGGTTGAAATAAATAAATGGGTGGGCTTTTTAAGGGAAAAAGCATAACTGAAAAATTGAGTCTTCACTGAAGTTACCTTAGTAATTTTCCTGATTAACTGATTATCTGTAGCTGAGTTACATGCTAGCTATTCAGATAGTTTTCTAGTCATATCTTTAAGAATGGAACCAGTATAGAATTCACCCTCCAACAAAGTTTATCCAAAGCTAAATTAAATCAATAGGAATCTTTTAATCCAGCATTAGCTTTAATGAATGCTGGATTAAACCCTAACAGAACTGACACTGACATTTAATATTCAGCACCTTAAAACTCTTTATCTTCCAAATAATTTAATTAATAAATGTGATTTTCATGATTCCAACATTATAGGAGAAACTGAAGTACAAATGCAGCCAGTGATTCTCCCTAGTAAAGGCAATAAAAACATTGAAAAAAAAAGGATTTTTTAAATTTAAATCAGATTTTTTTATTTAATTGTATTTTTAAGATGCTTTAAAAATAAACTTATATGAAGATAGTTTAATTTAAGATATGTTAACGTTTAAAGATATCATCATGGAATAGGGATTATAATTTTTAATTATACACTGTTTAAGACAATATATTCATGTAACCTTTTTAGAAAAGTTTTATAAATAACTCACAACAGACCATGGATTATATATTATGGACCCAATTTTATGGGCTTCCCAAAGGCTCCTCTACATATTAGTAAAAATTAAAAAAAACCACTCCACCCAATGGGACTCCATGGCTCACTCTAGAAGATCACATTAAGCATCTCTGTGATGATTAGTTTCAGTTATCAAAGTGTGGATTTGTGTCTCCAGAGATAACACCCTTGTTAAGAGCAGTATATGGAGATGAGAAAAGTGCAAAATTTCAATAAGTTAAATGAATAGAGTGGAGTAGATCTGGGCAAGGAGGAGGAGTCTGGAGATAAATGCAAGGATGGAGGGGCAATAGAAACAAAAGAGAAATATTTTGAACAGAATGTTGTTGAAATTGCAAAAGACTTAACAACCACTTTGCAGCAGCTGCTCTGAAAAAAGCAGGAGGAACCAAACTAACTCTCCCACAAGATGTACGATGGAACTCAGTAGTGGATTGTTTTGAGTGATATATTGGGAACTCACCTAATCTGATGAGAATGTGTGAAAAAAATCATGCCAAAATAGATGGAATTGTCGTAGCCAATGTTCTCAACATTGGGCTAAGGAAAATGTAGAACATATATGCTGACTATCCTGAAGCCTATTTCCATAGCCTTGAACAAAGGTTATATCAAACAACAAGAATACACTTTTTGCAGAAAACAATGATTACATCGAGGCTTCCTGACCAGTGATTTAAATCATAATTTAAATTAATTTGATTTAAATTAAATGCACCCTGCTGAAAATGCAGGTATCAAATGTAGGCGTGATTAGTTAAAGAGCATTAACATATGTGTAGATACAACCAGGCACTTAGTTTAGTGCCAGGTCTGCCCAGCCACTAGGGGCATGTGGCAGGGCAAATTGTTTATTAAATAAACAGGCATGTTTATTTCAAACTCAGTGTCTTTATACTTATCCTTCACTTTCATGTGCTCAAGGACAGCGGGGTCTGACAGTAAGTGGGGAGGGGGTGCAGGAGAAAGAAGTTGGGCGGCCGGGGGGGACAACAGAAGACAAGGGGACCACCTGTTGTCCATATCTTTATTTTCCCTGCTGTAGCAGTGGGAGGGGGACAAATTCAAGGCAAACCTCTAATAATTAGATTCTGTACCTGGAAAGTTATAACAATGTATATTTTTTTATATATAGAACCTAAATATTGGCAAGGGTTATCTTATATTCAGGGTCATCTTGTATTCAAGAAAAATGTGGTATTAAAATGAAAGACTTCCTATAACTGCTGGAGATGATCATGGTATTACTTCATCAAATTCATTCCCAACTGATCTTTTACTTATTAATAGTGTTACTGTGTCTTTTTTTAGTACTTTTTTTGTGCTGGTCTCCACTGTATTGCCTGACACAGTACAGGCATACATTATACTAACTGGATTATATCTGTGTCTACAAAAACTTAATTTCCACTTGTGTGCACCCTTATTTTCCTAGGGTCTCAGATCATGTATTAATATTTACTTCATAATCACAATAACCTGCAAGATGAGTATTATTATGATAGTAAAAGTAGGCACAAAAGCCATAATCTTGCCATGTGCTCTCTGTATGGGCAGACCTTTGTGTTCATGCTAGGTTTAGATATTTGATCAGTCAAATACAGTTCAGGCAATTGATTGGTTAAATATTGTTAACAAATTATAAAATATTGCCAACAGATCCAAATAATAAATAGAAAATAAATACAATAATGCTTTGTTATTCATATTCAAAAAATGCAAAATATGCTTTGGTATTCTATAGCAGATTAGAAGCCTACTTCAACCCCAAGGGTTCCTACATTTCTAAGCTGTAAAATGCTAGGTCAATTCATACAACAGCAAGTGTATGCAGTTATTAATTACTCAAACTGATGGATTTTTTTCCCCAGCAATTCATTTTAGAAAGATACATTAGTTCATATTTTATATTTTTTGACTAGTAAACTGCATCCTCAATACCTGTCTGTGAGTGAAACTGTATCAAGAGCTGATAATAGATCCATTCAGATGGTAGCACTAGGTCTTTATTTAAGGTAGGAAACTTGCTCATGCTGGCTTTACCTTTCCTCAATAAATGCACCAAAATACAGGTTGCTAACCATTCCTACAAGGTTCTGTGCTTTTAAAAATTCCCATTAAAATATAAGCCCTTGGCACAAGACTTGAGCATATCTGAAAGCACCTCTCAATCCCCTGCCAACCTATTGGGTTGTTGCGTGTAGCACAAGAACCCCGTCCTAAACCCAGATGATACAGTTTGAAGTCCTCTTATGGAATGTTCACTACAGTTTACACTCAACAAGGAAGCAGCTGCCCCTGCCTGAGACCTTCACCTATGAAATAAATCACTGTGAATGAAGATTAGACTAGCACAAAGGTATATTTATTTTAAAATCATTTTCCTGAGTGGAGAGAGGCCCAGTGGCAGTATTACTGCAGCTCAAAAACATATCTTAAAATTTAGTGCTAAATCTTGATCTACAGTCTTTCTTACGAGTTATAGTAGCACAAGAACTATGGCAGGTCTGAAAGAATATGTCACTTGGAATTCATATCTATTCTATTAAAATTCTATGAAATTCTATTAATATTCTATTAAAATATTCAAGAAAACTAAATACTTGTGTAAGAACAGATACAAAGTCTTGGTTCCTACTCCAGAGGGTCTGTGCTGGGCTCAGTCCATGAAGGAACTCACACTGATATCATCAGCATTTTTTAATAAATACAGATGGAGATCTGCATATTACTGTTAGTTAATTTACAGCAAGGTAAAATAGCCTGGGACAAACACTGGTCCCAGCTTAAGTCAGAACTCCAACCCATAAAAGAAATTCATCCTGCTTGGGAAAATAATCACCAGCTCAGAAAAAGTGAAGTGAATGCATGAACTTTGCAGCACAGTTTGAATATCAAACAAAATATGCAGTCAGGCAAATAGTAGAAGTGAATTCTGGAACCAAAGGCCCCCATTGCAAACACCCATCAGCAAATCCACAGGGGTTGCTTAACTCAGTTGTTGGGATGCAACCTAAATGGAAATACTGCCTATAAAACCCAAGATCCATCCGTTAGACAGCTCCAGTCTTAAATCAAAATCCACAGACGACTGGTTCCCAAGTTTGGGCAACTGGTCACTTCACCCTCTTTACTCCTAGCAGATAAAACCACATTACAAAAGAGCTAAGACACGCTGGGCGTGTCTACACAAGACACTATGTTGCTGTAGCTATGAGGTACGGCAATGTAGCTCATTGCTACAGAAATGCAGCATTGGTGGGCATGACCTGTGATGCTAACACTACTGCACAGTAGCAACGAGCTACAGTGCAGCAGCTTGTTGCTACTGTGCAATAGGGTCAGAAACAAGCCATGCATTGCTGGGACTGTGCAGTAATGGCGATAATTGCGCAGTCATTTTGTATTTGCTAAAGGACAAATGCGCAGTAACAACTGTGCAGTTGGACGCACATGTAGATGCACCCACTGAATGGGAATGTATTACTGTTTTCTGCTACTTTAATTATAACAGGCATGTTGTGGGGGACATTCTCTGGTATAATCACAAATAAGAGGGGCAAGTAGATCGACAAATTAAGTAGGCTAAGTATGCTGTCTACCCTTTAGAAAACCTGAAGACCCTGGCTGCTATTTGGCGCTATAGACTAAAAGTTTCACCTTGAATTGCACCAGGAAACACTCTGAGCCAGTACAATCTTCTAAATCTTGGAATTATGTTCTATGTACATAGAAGAGAACTAAGCAGGGGGCCTGATGTATACTGTACTTGCCAAAGTTTCTGAGTGCACTTTAAGGGCAGCGCTAAGCAGAGCATTACAGTTAAATCTGGAGGAAACAAAGATGTGGATGGCTGGAATGTGGTATACATTCGTGAAGAAAGGTCACAACCCTGTACGCAAATGGAAATGGAAAACCAAATCCATTTGAGAACTGGCGTTACTGCAGAGTAAATACTGAGCATATCACTTTTGTGATAACATGACCTGGATTTTGGAAGTGATCTCTGTAGCATATAAAGGACAGATATACGGCTTCTCAAGTTGCTTTTTGTAATATGACCTAACCCAGTTCTTCTAGGAAATTTCAAACAGCTATTTACAATTCAAAGCATTGATCTATTACAGTCAGATGGTTACTGCAACATTTAGCTCTGTGGGTTATGACAGAGGATTTGCTTTTTTTAAACTGAAGGGCACTAGTACCCAGGGCTGTGGACAACCCACGTGTAATTAGGTATGAGGTTTCTCAGATTCTGTTGTCATCTGTTGTCATGAACGACAGCAAATAAATACACCATCCACACCTGACATGATTCAGTGCTAGACAACCAAGTGCTAAAATTGGGCATAAATTAGTGTTTCAATAAAATGTTCTGTAATGCACATATTAATACTAATTTATTTTAAACATTGGTAATAAAGATGTAGGATAGCTGAAATACACATGAAAATGGAATATTACTTACTTGCTTTTTCTTGTAGAAACCCTTCTTGTCACAGTTTGGAATATGGAATCCTCTTGGACTCAAGACATTCAGGATCTTAAGGTGATTTAATGTGTCTTCCATTTCTCTACGGCAGGGACCCTGTCACAATGAACACATTTAGAAACTCCCTTGCTCAAACCTTGTTTCTTATCATCTTATTATTAGTAAATGTGTAAATATTAAACCCCCCATCAAACAACTCCATTAACATATGTATAAAACAAAGGTGATAGCATTATGAGGATAAATGTTGGACAAATTTTAGCAATGAAAAGCACTTTTAAAAAGCCTGTCTCATAGACTAACTAATTACTCTTCAGTACAGTCTCTTTGAGGTACGGCAGCAAGCATAATTAGTTCAATTTTATACCTGAGAGAACTGGAGCAGAAAGTATAAGTGATTTACCAGAGGGCAAAGAGGCAGTTAATGTCAGCAATGGGATTAGCATTAAGGAATTACTGCCTACAATTCTTGCTTAAACTGCACATCTGCATGTGCATATTATTGACTTATTCCACCCGCTCAGTTTTAAAATGTGGACCTGAAAAAATTCCTTGCATGAGCACATAGTTTTAAATGTTTAAGTACCTGTATCAACACAAAGACTCATTGGTGCAACTCTCAATTAGTTCAAGTCAATGATACTCATATTTTTTAGTAATATTAATACGCTGCACAAATAAGGTGCCTTTCATCTGAAGTTCTCTATACATATAGACTCAACAGTTTTGCATGAGTTTAAAATTGAATGCTTTGTTTGGCAAATATCCTCTTTACAGTTTTCATATACTTGCTCTTAGTATCAATCTCCCCAGCTCTGAACATGTCTTTAAATTGCTCTTATTGGCAATTCCTTAAACAAACAACCCTCTTCAGACAAACTGACTGCAAATCCTACACATTCAAAGATTTGTTTCTTTGTTAGTTTTACAAAAACAGCAAAAAACTTTGAGTTAATAGGCTTTAAGAGTTAGAGAGATCAAGAGTAAACATATGCATAGCTATAAAGATATTTGTTTACTAAAGGTCCAGCATTACTCAGTGAGAATAAGGCTGTACAATCTTTACTCATGCAAGTAGCTTGCTTAAGTCCATAAGTCCTCTCATATTGGAAAGGATTCCACATGTAAAAATCCTGGCCCTACTGAACTCAATGGGAACTGAAATCAGTGGGTATAGGTGCTTAAGTCATTATGAAAACCCCAACATTAGATGCCTATTGGCATCATTAGACAATGATTACATGGGCTTCTAAGGCACTTAAAAAATCCTTGTGTGTGAAAGCAAGAAGACAGATATGCAGTTCAGTAGTCCTTATAAAACTGTTTCTGTTATTATCTGTACAGGTCCTAGGAGGACTAGTCATGGACCAAGAGTCTATTATTTTTTGCTGTACACTGATCTTTCTCTCTCCACCTTCCCCTCCTAATCGACCAGCAGCCTTCAAAGCTCATTGATTACTTTTTGCTGTACACTGATCTTTCTCTCTCCACCCTCCCCTCCCAATTCCCCAACTTTTTTTTTAACTAGCACATTCAATAACCAAGAAAGCAATATGCTTTAATTGGAACCTCTGGCTCCTTTGACTTCAGAGCCTGATTTTTCTGCATGTTCAAACTCTCTTGCGGATTTTTCTTATCTCCACATACAACTCTCTACCTTTTCCAGGTTTGTATCCTTCTTTCTGTAGATGGAAAGCTATGTGTAGATCAGTCATGGATATTGTGATGAAGTGCCAAAGTATGCCAAGTAATAGTTTGTATGCCTGTTGGCACTGATGTGATCATAACCAGGTTGTCTAAGAGTATGCCTTGCTCAAATCCCTTCTCTCCAGGTTCCCTTGCAAATCTAGCCAATATTGTATAGAGGGATTAAGAAAGGGTAGCAAGTTGTATCTTCCTCAACCATTATCTGCATTTACACTGCCTCAGAGAAATCACCACAAATCTAGACACTGTTTTGTGTGCACTAGAAAAACCCATCAAAAGCTAAGGCCCAGTCCCATGCTTCCCATAATTTGCTATAGAGCACATACTTAGGTTACTGCACTGAGTGCAGTCTTTTTGCTTTTTTGCATTAGACTTCCTTTTTAGCCTGTGTGTAATAAAAAATAATCAATGGACTATACTGCATGTGTCCATATCTAGTGTAATTTGTTCCCGCAAGAGGTAAAACGAAGACTTGTAGGGCCAGATACTATTTAATCTATTAGGCACCTAAGTGTAATCCTATCTCACCATACTCAACCACCTGAAAACTGTTAAGGCTAAAGGTGAGTAAGATCTTCTTCCTCCTCAGTGCTTTTTCATGACTTAGTTCTAAAGATAAGATGACAGCATGTTACAAAAACAGATGCAAATCACACTCGGACATTTAACAGGTGGAGTATGATCCAGCCCTTACTTTCCAAGAATCATTATTGAAAGTCACATTAAAAACCTCTCCCCACTACTCTCAAAATCTAACCTATATGCTCTACTGCCCCTCTTTATCTGCAAACTCCAATAGTTCTACTTATTGGTCAAAGAGCCAGAACTCCTTAAAAGGCTACAACAATCACCATCATAAGGGTTTCTATTCATCTCATCAAATGTACTATGAAAAGGGAGGGGGGGCAGAAGGGGGTGTAATACAATTGGGGTATCTTTTTGGGTTATAAAAATACTTACATATTCAGTCTCTTGTTTGGATTCAGAAGAGAAATTCAATGTGTCTGTACTTTGTGAATCATATTCCACTTTATAGCGCTGAGTATTTTTGGCTTGTTCTTTCCTGATGATATCTATTTTGGTATGGTGTTGATGAGCTTTGGAATCTGACACTCTGTGAGAGTTGGGAATAGCTTGATTCTCTATGCTACTGGCGTTCTGGTCTTCTTCTGAATCACTGGAATTTCCTTCAAATAAAATAAATTCAACAAAGATAAAAATTAAAAAAAAAATTCAGCTATGACTTTGAAGCTCAAGAGATTATTAAAAAGGGTGTTTTTTTCTCTTTAAAATACACATAAGATAGGGATGATCTTGTCTCAGGCAGGGTTTGGACTAGATGACCTCCAGAGGCCCCTTTTAGCCCTACTTTTCTATGATTCTATGAAATAGTCAAATAATTTGGTGCAACCTGTGCAGAAATGTCTCTATTACTACCTACTGATTATTTTAAACTTTAATTGATGGTTGCAATTATTTGTACATTTTCGCCCTCTAGTTAATTCTTTGAAAAAATATTTCATATTCTGAATATGATTTCAAATCATTTTAAAATTAGATATTTAAATTAAATATACTTCCAATAACTTCCCTTATTTTGAATTTTTCCCACCAGAAGGGGGCAGATTTACACCATGACAATCATTTCCAGAGTCTGGAACTGATTCAAAAATCTGTTAGCAACTTTAACGGTGCAAGATGTACAAAAAATTCAAAAAAATAATTCTGTCCTATAGCTGATCCAGTTAACATATATTAAAGAAAATGTATTCTTATCATGTCTTATGGTTTCTAGTACCTTGTATGATATTCTCCTTGTCTTCCTTAGTAAGCTAATTAACAAAACTATTAATAAATTGAATACCACTACCTTGGCTTTAACTGACATTATTACCCTTTTTTTATTTTCAGCTGTTACTTCTTAATTGTATCCCACATGCCACAGAAACTGAAAAGTTCAGCAAGTTTTTCCCCCCTCTTAACTTAAAAAAAGTTTTCTGATTGGATATGAAATTTATTTCACGATTCTGAACACAGCACTTTCCTCAATTCTGCTATGATGGCAAAGGACAAACATTTATTTATTTGCTTTTCACTATGTGCTTAAGTTTAAAAATACTTTATTTCCTCAGTACTTTTATGGAAAGTAGGTGGAGAAGAAAGTGCCCCCAAATATGGTAGAGAGACAGTTTTCGTAAAGTCTAAAGGATCTGTCTATACCACATTTCTTATAGGACTCTTCTCATGTAACTGCATTTCCTCTATATTTTTTTTAAGTCTGCATCTGCCTATCAGCTAAGTCACATTAACTTTTGCATTGCAGCACTTTGGCTGATGGCTATGTAAACTTAAAAAAAAATGGAAAGAAAGGAAACTGCTCAGGGAGTGCACAATAACTGATATTCAGAGCATAAATTACTTAAAAAATCCTTGCTTCAATGACATACTAAAATTAAACCACAAAATCTGTATTAAAATAGCGCTGGAGGGTTGACTAAAACCCACAAAAACCAACAAATTCACTGTAAAGACAGAAAGCCCATCCTAACACACCCATTGAGATTAAGCACTTCAGCACATATGGCACTATGGTCCCTGTAATACATAGGCACAGGAAGTCAGATCAGAGGTAACATCTTGGTGCCAATGGTTTTAGCCTAGCCACTGCCGGCAAAGGTCATAATTGACCAGGAAAATCCAGCTCCCAGCACAAATGGATTAAGGAAGTTTAGGTCTTAATTCTGAATTTCCTGATTTGTGTGGGTTCAATTCAGACTCTCAGCAGTATTTCATATTTTTGTGGGTTTTTTTTTTTTAACAGTAGTATTTTTTCTCATTTTTCTCTCAATGAAGTTTGTAAAAGACAACATAATGGAACATAAAGGATCTGACTTGCCTAAATATGAAAGGGTTGTCTGACAACTTTTGTAGTCTTTGGAAGTTTTTAGCATTTACCCTGCATGTACAGATTTTTTTAAAGGTGCATTACGTAACCAGTATATCACAAAGGCCATTTCGTAGTTCTAATAAGCTGTCATAGCAATCAGTATGTATGCACTGACGAAATTCACAATTACTACTTGCATGTTTTTATAATGTAAAGGCATACTGCATTGCATCACTTTGTTCTGCACAGCTGTTGCCATGTTATATATCCATCCAAAACCAGTAGGAAACTGTCATTACAATTGGAGAGCTAGGTTTTGGGTTTTTTTTAAGTATTAGAAAGGTCTCAAAAAGTTATGAATTGTTTAAAAGCCAAAAAGATCTAGCTTGAGAAAGTTAGTGGCCTTGTAAATTTGGCCTGAATATGACAATGTAAAATATACAGCTGTATAAAAGCATTTAGCACATCCTGTAATTTAAACACAACACAAAGGATTGTACATGGTGTTGTAGCTAACTCTACACATAGGAAAAGATTTGATCCTATTCTTAAAGAACTTTCTGTATGCTAGGGTCTGGACTTGAAATTTGGATTTAGGATTGAAACTTTATGAGAGTCTTAAAGAGACAGGCACTACATGTGACTCATTTCTCACTCCCTGAATATAAGCACTCAGCCTTTATTCCTTGAATGTGAACAGTAGGAGACTTTCTTTGCACATTTTACACGGGCAGCATTCCCACTGACTTCAACAGGAGTTTGGGCTGAGTATGGAGCACACAAATACAGCTTTAACATTTTAACTCTTTAGGCTAAGGTTGAAATTGACTTCAACTTGGACTCAGCAGTTGAAATCCATCACCCCATTTCCCTCCCCATCCCGGTTAGTTAAAAAATAAAAATAATTACAACCAATCATTACACTGTGACAAGTCCCACACTGTTGAAGGCAGACTCCCCTCATTTTGGAGTTGTGTTAAGGCAGGGTTAACAGCATGGAGTTCCAGGGTGGAGGCGGCCATGTGTTTCACTGAGGTTTTTAACTTGACTCTGCAGTTTTTGAGCGCTTCCTTATTCAAACTGTCACAGCTTGGGAGCAGTGCGGAAATAATTATAGGAAGGCATCTTGTGCTTTTGTAGCAGCCAGCAAAGGGCACCCTGGCTGCCACTTGCTCTCACACAAGGAAAGAGAGCCCAGCCAAAAAAAAAGAAAGACTGCACACATTCTAGCAGAAAAAGGCCAGGCTGCTTCCAAAAGAACAGCCGTCCAAAACCTTTTCCCAGGCTTTCCTGGGAAGCATTTGTTCCACTCTCCACACCGATTCGGCTGGTGCCATCTGGGCAGAGCGAAGCGCGCGCTCTGGAGGTGCCTCTCAAATTTCCATGGCTGTGGACATTCCACAGGGGCCTGCTCACAGCAGCGTGCTGCAAATGCTGCCCCTCGCCAGCCACACAAGGGGGATGGCAGAGATGCCTTCTGCCCCTCCTGCGTGTGCAACAAAGGGGCAGGCAGTATTTGTTTCTGCTCAAGCTCCTAGCCTCCAAATGCTTTGTTCTAACTACTGATCCCATCTCTTAGCAGGGGATACCAGTGACCCCATCTCTTGTCAGGGGACGCACCAATGACCCCTTCTTTTATGCCCTGCTTTTACATTTCCTGTTAACCTAGATCTGTACTACTGGGGGCTGTTGCTTCCTTCACCCCTTTCTAGGAATTTTACAACTTGATCACTTGGATCTGGACACCCAAGGCAACCTTGCTGACCTTCCAAGCCAGCTGCCCCCCCCCCCCCTTTTTTTTAAATTCAGTTATTTATTAACTTTCTCCCACATGCCATGGTGAGCAAAGCACTGGATCTGGCCGCCCAGAGAGGTGGCGGAATCTCCATTTTTGGAGCTTTTTAAGACTAGTCCAAGCCCTGGCTGGGATGATCGAGTTGGGGATGCTTTGGGGTTTGCCTAGATGGCCTCCTGAGGTCCCTTTGCAATGAGTGTGGGAACACAGAGAGACAGGGTTGTTTGCGGGAAAGTATTTGCAAGCTTGGGGGCACAACCACCCTTCTTCAGGCATTGGGAGGCTGCTGCTGTTAAGAGCAGCCTCAGACAGGGTTCTTTGGGTAGATGTGATCTCTTTTATTAGACTGACTCAAATAGTTGGAAAAAAAGGCAGACAAGCTTATTTGGCTATATGTGATCTCCCTAACAGCAAGAGTCTCCCACTGCTCAAAGAAGGGTGTCTGTGCCCAAAAGCTTGCAAAGAACTTTTCTCCAACTATTTAGTTGGTCTAATAAAAGAGATCCCATCTACACAAAGAACCTTGCCTGCCTTTTTTCCAACTATTTGAGTTGGTGTTGGTCTAATAAAAGAGATCACTTCTACCCAAAAAGCCTTGCCTGCCTATTTCCTTAGACCAACACGGTTACAACCAACCCCACTGCCAGGTTCATTAGGTACATGTGATCTCTTTTATTAAACCAACACTAATTCAAATAATTGGAAAAAAAAAAGGCAGACAAGGTTCATAGGGTAGATGTGATGCCTTTTATCAGAGCAACTCAAATAGCTAGAAAAATTCTTCTTTGCCAGCTTTTGGGTACAAACACCTGGAAGCTTGCAAAGAAGAATCTTTCCAGCTATCTGAGTCAGTCTAATAAAAGAGATCACATCTTCTCAGAGGAGCTTGTGTGCCTTTGTTCCAGCTATCTGAGTCGGTCTAATAAAAGAGATCACATCTTCCCAGAGAAGCTTGTGGCGCCTTTCTACCAGCTATCTGAGCGGGTCTACTACAAGAGACCCCATGTCCCCAAAGACCCTGGCCTGCCTTTTTTTCCGGCTAGCGGAGTGGGTCTAACAAAGGCGATCCCACCTCCCCACTGAGCCTTGCCCGCCTTGTTTCCAGCTCTCTGAGCCCGTGCTGCTCGAATCGAAGCGATCCCACCTCCCACACGACCCCGGCGTGCCTTTTTCCCAACTTGCTGAGCGGGTCCTAAGGAAGGAGATCCCACTCCCCCCCAGACCCCCCGCCCGGGACACACCGCTCCGGCCCCCCGGCTTACCTGCGGCGTGGGGCGCGGGCAGCAGGAAGGTCCTGAGGCGGGCGGCCACCGTGGCGTTGGTGCAGAGCCCCCG